ATGTTAAGAGCAGTTATCTTAATAAAATATTGAGTTATTAAGGATTTTATACTGGTGAATTTTTAGTTAAATTTTGTGTAAGTGATTGATGGAAAGAGTTTTGTGTCTATATCTAGAAATTAAGCAGACAAATTTTTTATTATTAAATAAACCCAGAAAGCAAAATTTTTTGAAATTTTACATATGAAATTTAGGTGTGTTGATCATTTGATCCCATAATAAAAATTTTACACATGTGATCTGCATGACATTACAGCTGACTGATATACAACCTTTGGTTATCTATTAAAATAGTCTACTTATTACTAAGTTCTATATTAGTTGTTATACCTATAACCCAACTAGGAGATTATCTATTTTTTTTTTTTTTTTTTTTTTTTTTAAGGTTTCCTTTGAGATCAAGCTTTTATTGATATTAAGTCATTGACTACATGGGTCTACAGTTTTGGTATTACAATGAGAGTATAACTAGCCACACATGCAACTTTTGATTGCCTAATTTAAGTAGTCTACCCAAAGGTTCTATACTAGATGTCATATCTATAACCCAACTAGGAGATTATCTTTTAAACACTCTAATTGTACATACCCACTAATTATTTTAAGCTAGGTACCTTTATACCGAAGTGCCTCTTACTTACTTACCTGGACTTGGTTATCTCATTGGTTGCTCTTGGGTCTCCACAGGTGGGTATAGTGGCAGTCTCCCTAATTCTTTTATATTCTATCAGTAGTGGCCAAACGGGAGTTCTAGGACAGAATTCTGGTAATATATCCAGAAGAGGCTCCAAGCCTCTCTACAAACCTTTCTAGATATATTTAATCATATATCGAATTCAAGCTCCGAATTATGATTGAGCCAGATCTTGTTAACTTAATTTCTTTACTCTTAAATTTGGGTTTCTGACATTAAGGAGTACATAGTCTTTGTTAACATTCTGGCTATGTTTTTAATCCTAAACAAGATAACAAAAAAATTATGCTATCTTGCTTGCCTTTGAAAATGAGCAGAAAGCACCGAGGACCAAAGTGTCTGAGTGTGCTTCTCTGCGAGCTCATTCAAGCCTAAAATGCATACTATTTTCTATGTTATCCTAGAATTAATTCAAAAGCGATTTATTACTTTCTAGCAAAGGACAAAAATCTTACCGAAAATGGGGCTTGCCCCATTTTTGGTAAGACTTTTTGTTTCCTACACCCAAGTCTTACCAAAAAGTCTTACCAAAAATTTAACCGGCAAAGTCTTACCAAAAAGTCTTACCAAATAATTTAAACCGGCAAAGTCTTACCAAAAAGTCTTACTAAAAATTACTATCTATTCTGAGTTTTTTAAAGCCTTATTATGCAATCTGTTATAATATTGGATCACATAATAGCCCTTAACATCTAATAGACACTGCCCAGAACTCGAACTAATGGGCTTACCACATTCACTACACAGAACACGTACCTTAGATTTCCAATAAAAGTAGCACTCTTCAGGTCACATGCAGGGCCTACTACAAGCCTTACTAGAGTTATGTAAATAAGGGTAAGAATATTCTCCGATCATTTTTGCTTATAGAGAAAAATAATTAATTAATTTTTTCTTACAAGCTCGAAAAAAAAATTTATAGTCAACCTATAGTTGGTTACCTACTTTTCTGGCTTCGAGCGATGAAATCGCGAGAAGGCGGGGGGAAATAATTAATTAAATAAAAAATTTTATAAACTATTATATACAAATCAGAATGGCTAAAGGTAAAAGAATTTGTGATCAATGTGGTAATAAATTTGCAACACCCCGCAAACTTCGTGATCATCTAAAAAGAAAGTTTAAATGCAAACCAAAGCCTATTCAAATACCAATACAACCTTTTACCACGCAGGTCAAAGACCAAGTAGTTGTTCAAGAGGGGGATTCAGAAGCAAGCCCAGGCCCAGCAACCCAAGTCTATAGAGAAGAAATATCCTCTGAGCAGAATAAAGTCCAAGAGAATGATATAGTATTTGTGGAAAAAAGTTATGACCTGGCCAGACCACATAAAAATCTCAAAAATATGTCTGTATGGGAGGGAAAGATTCCAGCAGGCAATAATCCAGCATATGTTTTTAATAAACAGCAAGACAATCAAACAGCATAGTCTGACGCCCCATACATGCCCTAACTCTTAGCTTCCACACGCAAAGAAATTACTAATATTCTCAAAGAAGAGCTCTACAAAAAGAATCAAATAAAAATATCATTAGTTATAGAAAGCACATACACAAAATATAAATATAAAGGAGAAGGCGATGTTACAGACAAAGCGAATTATGAACTTAGTCAGACCCATTCATATCATAGAGGAAAACAACATATTCTTCTTTCAGAAAATGATATAGACCCATATTTAATTCAATCTGGAGTTTAAGATTACATGCATTGTGGGCAGATCCCCGAAACTTACCTGTAATATGGCAGTGGTCCCAGA